TGGTGGTGGGGGGGGGGGGTGGCAGCGAGGAGAGAGGCAGCAGCGAGGAGAGAGGTGGCAGCGAGGAGAGAGGCAGCAGCGAGGAGGGAGGCAGCAGCGAGGAGAGAGGCAGCAGCGAGGAGAGAGCTGGCAGCGCGTCTTGCCTGCCAGCCCGCCTCTCGAGAGACCGCCCTCGCCGCGGCGCCCCACTCGCCCCCCGCCGCCTACCGGGAGATGGCCCGAGAGAATCACCCCGAGGGTTGACCCGAGATTTGCGGCGCCCCAGCCGCCCCGCTCCACGCCGCCTCCACTCGGCGCAGCGCCGCAGCGTCGAGCCGCCGCAGCGTCCCCTCGACCGTCTCGGCGGAGAGGGGCGCCTGCCCACGGCCAGAGGCGTGAGGAGGCGCCGTTCACACTCGCAGTGCCCGCCGTGTCGGCGGCGAGGGGTGCGCCTGCGGATGAGCCGCGGCAGAGTGCGCACCCTCCTCCTCCTCCTCCTCCTGCTGCTGCTGCTGCTCCTCCTCCTCCTGCTCCTCCTCCTCCTCCTGCTGCTGCTGCTGCTGCTGCTCCTCCTGCTCCCCCTCCCCCGCCGCAGCCGCGTCCGCCCTGCAGCATGTGCGTGTGGCTGTGAGCAGGCACTCACTAGCTCGCGCGCACTGTCATGCCCATACAATTGCACCTCGCCCGCCCGCCAGCCTCTCGGCGTGCGCAGCTCTGCCGCGCAAGACACTGCAGGCGCGCGACGGCGGCGCCCGCCCCGCCAACCTCGCTCCGTATCCGCTCTACCAGCGCCTCCTCCGCCTCGTCGCCGCCATCCTCGCCACGCACCGCCGCCCGCACCGCCTGCGCGGTCGGGCAGCGCTGCAGCACCGCCGCGGCGGACGCGCTCGCAAGGTCAAGAAGCGGCGGGATGTCGAGGAACGACCCGCTCTCTGCGATCGCGAGCAGCGACGGGACCGAGCCGCGAGGCCGCGCCACCTAGACACTTCCTAGACACTTCGTAGACACTTCCTAGACACTTCCTGCGAGCCGCGAGGCCGCGCCACCATCATCACGCACCAGGCCCTATCCGCGCCGGTCGCAGCCTTGACGCCGCGGCAGGCGGCCCACGCCACCGAAGCCTTGAGCAGCCAACTGGGGGCGGTGTCGCCCTCCCGCTGGAGCCGGCGCCGCTCCCGCTGCTCGGCCTCCAGCAGCCGAATCTCCTCCTCCTCGCGCTCGTCGCCGGACAGATCGCTCTGCCGGTGCTGCTGCCACCGCCACCGCTGCTCGCGACACATCGCCTCCCGCGCCTCGCTCCGATCCGCGGCGCGGGCGACCAGTTGGCAAAACTCGAGCGCGAAGCTGAGCGAGTCGGCGTAGAGCCGAGAGAGCCGGACCGGCTCGCCGCCGCCCGCGTGCTCGAGGAGACCGCTGAGCATGCCGCTCTCGCGCGCCGCTCGCAGCGAGACGGTGTGCGCCTCGCCGTCGGCGCTCAGCAGCGTCAGAGCCTGCTCGTCGTCTCGCGCGGCCCGCATCGAGCGCGAACAAGCACGGTGCCACACGGGTTTCTTTATAAGTGAAGGCTACGGTCTTCTTTTTGTTGTCCATATTTCGCATTCTTTTTCTCGCGATGTCCACCCCACAGGGCGCCGCTCGCGCCGCCTCGCCGCCGCCGCCGCCGCCGCCGCGCACTGCCCTCTCCTCGACCTCCCCACGGACCTCCTCGTGCGCGTCCTCTCTCGCTGCGACCCCGCCGACATCGCTCGCGTCGCGGCCGTCTCGCTCCTCTTCTTCGCCTCGCTTGCGAAGGAGGCCATCCGCTTGTGGGCGCAAGAGCGCGGCTACGAGCTGCCGGCGCAGCCCGAGGGCGAGAGCTGCGCCGTGCGATGGCTGTGCTTTTCGGCGCTGCTGTGCGAGCACAACCCGCCGGTGAGGGCGGCGGCAGGCGATCGGCACAGCCTCTTCATTGACGGCGAGGGGCGGCTCTCGTCGTGCGGCTCGGCGCCGTCCTACCTTCCTCCTCAGCCAGAATTGCTCGGGCACGGCGAGGGCGTGCTGCGGCTCAACACGCCGACCCGCCTCCCGTCGACGCTGGGTGCGTGCGCCGTGAGCGTGGCGGCGGGAAGCACGCACAGCCTCGCCCTGACCGCCGACGGCGCTGTTTGGAGCTGGGGCGATGGGGGCCGCGGCAGGCTGGGCCACGGCGACGGGCAGAGCCAGCTCCTGCCGAAGAAGGTGGCGGCGTTGGCTGACCAGCGTGTCGTCGCCGTGTCGGCGGGAGATGTGCACAGCCTCGCCCTCACCGCCGGCGGCGCCGTTTGGAGCTGGGGCGAAGGAGGCTCTGGCATGCTGGGCCACGGCGACGAGCAGAGCCAGCCGCTGCCGAAGAAGGTCGAGGCATTGATTGGCCAGCGCGTCGTCGCTGTGTCGGCGGGATGGGGCCACAGCCTCGCCCTCGCCGCCAACGGCAGTGTCTCGAGCTGGGGCAGTGGAGGCTCTGGCCAGCTGGGCCACGGCGACTGGCAGAACCAGCTGCTGCCGAAGAAGATCGAGGCCTTTGCTGGCCGGCGCGTCGTCGCTGTGTCGTCTGGACTCTACCACAGCCTCGCCATCACCGCCGACGGCGCTGTCTGGAGCTGGGGCTCGGGAAGCCAAGGCCAGCTGGGCCACGGCGACCAGCAGCGCCAGCTCCTGCCGAAGCAGATCGAGGCCTTGGCTGGCCTGCGCGTCGTCGCCGTCGAGGCTGGAGGGGCGCATAGCCTCGCCCTCTCCGCCGACGGCGCCGTCTGGAGCTGGGGCGAAGGATACCACGGCCAGCTGGGCCACGGCGACCAGCAGAACCAGCTGCTGCCCAAGAAGGTCGAGGCCTTTGCTGGCCAGCGCGTCGTCGCTACGTCGGCGGGAGACGACCAAAGCCTCGCCATCACCGCCGACGGCGCTGTCTTTACTTGGGGCAGGGGCGAACGCGGCTGCCTAGGCCACGGAGAGGACCTGTCGAACCAGCTGCTGCCCAAGAAGATCGAGGCGTGGGCGCCGGGCCAGTGAGGTCTGAGCAGGAAGGCGTGCGAGTGCGAGGCGGCGAGGAGCCGATGGGGAGCACTTGGCGCTAGGCCTGTCTATGGCCTGAACTGCACCGCTGGCGGCACGCTACGAGCTTTTGAGAGCTTGTGAGCCGCGAGCGCTTGCGAGCTACAGCGTACTCGAATGACGCTGCCTCCTGGCGGTGGCGCCTGCCTGGTGCCTCGTGTGCCTGTGTGCTGTGAGCCCTGTCCTCCACTGTGTGCGGAGAGGCGCGGCTTGGCTTGTCATGTTATATATAGCGAAACCGAAAGCAGATCCGGTGACTCTGACTGCGTCTCAGAAGTCAGAACTCAGATCACAGATGGTCAGAGAGCGAGACCGCATGGTTCGCGCCTCAGTGACGCGAGGCACCCAATCCTAAAGAGAGCCGCAATCGATCTATCAGTCCCTTCCTCTTCGCTGGGCCGCGCTCCACGCGGCCCCACCTCCGCCCGGCACCGCGGCTGCCGAAAGTGGTAGGCCCTGCCCGGCTACTGCTGCGGGTAGTAGCCCTGGCCGTAGCCCTGCTGCTGGTAGTACTGCGCGTAGTACTGCTGGTATTGCGCGAGCTGCTCGGGCGTGTACTGCGCCTGGCCCTGCTGCGGCGACGGCGACGGCTGCGCTGCGCCTCCGCCCATCGACACGTCGACGGACATCCCGTTCGGCTTGCGCTTGGGGAGAGGCTTTGGGACGGCGGACTCGGGCACCTCGCTGTCGAGGGTGAGCTCGAGCCCGGCCTCCCCAGGGGGGGGGGGGGATTGGTGGTGGTGGTGGTGGTGGTGGTGTGTGTGTGTGTGTGTGTGTGTGTGTGTGTGTGTGTGTGTGTGTGTGTGTGTGTGTGGTGGTGTGTGTGTGTGGGGGGGGGTGTCAAACGGAGAGCAGGAGGGACACGCAAGAGGGGGGAGAGGGGAGGCAAAGGGACATGCAAATACGCTAACACGCCCTTCCAG